TCAACTCCCAGAATTCCCCCAGCCAGCATAGCTGGCTGGGGGAATTCTGGGAGTTGAAGTCCACCTGTCTGAACGTTTGCCAACTTTGAGAAATATTGTTTTCGATCTTCCCCTTTCCGGTCATCCCAGCTTACCAGGCAAATGAAAGCTTGAACAATCAATTCGTGATTTGGGAATGATGCTTCACCCAAAGGAACTTGGATTATTTGTATCTCTGCTGCCACATCTCGTCCATCGGGCCCTCAATATGAAATTTGATTTTGTCTGTTCCATGTACAGTCACAAATGCAAAACAATAAAACTTCCTTCGCGAAGAACGGGAATGTATTTTATTTCATCCCACAGGAGCGCAGTGGCTCACGTGGCTACGATGCTAGGCTGCCAATCGGCAGGCCGGCGTTCGAGACCCGGTTGCTGCCATGTGGCGGGTGAGCTCCCATCCCTTGCTCCAGCTCCCGCCAAACCAGCAGTTCGAACTTCAAGTAGGTAGATGAGTACCACTTTGGTGGGCAACTTAACAGGGATGTGAATGGGCGTCCCCCAGATGGTGATGATGTCTCGGGAAAATCCTTTCAACCCGGGAATTCTTCGATGTTCCCGACACAAATCTAGTCGTAATATCCAGTTCAATGAAGTAATTTACGCCAAAAGCTAATTTGGTTAAGGCTAATCTCGGTTATATTTTGGGGGATTTAGTGTGTTGTTCTCACACAGACTGTTTGGTTAATCCCCAGTGAATAAATTATAGGGATCAAGGAAATAATTTAATTCAAAACAGGAAGTCCTCAACTTACAACCATTTAGTAACCAAGGTTACAACAAGAAAGTAATTTATATCCATTTTATACACTTACAACCATTGCCGTATCCCCATGGTCATGTCATCAAAATTCAGATACTTGGCAACTGGCATGTTCTTGTGACAGTTGCGCAATCCCGGGTCATGTGACTTTATGATAAGCGAAATTCAATGCGGGAAGACAGATTCATTTAACAACTGTGTCACTCGCCTAACAACTGCAAATATAGCCAGAGAGGTCATAAAATGAGGCAAAGCTTCAGGTAACAGCAGTCTCACTTAGCAACCGAAATTTTGGGTTAGCAGTTAGCAATAGCAGTTAGACTTATATACCGCTTCATAGGGCTTTCAGCCCTCTCTCAGCGGTTTACAGAGTCAGCATATCGCCCCCACAGTCTGGGTCCTCATTTCACCCACCTCGGAAGGATGGAAGGCTGAGTCAACCCTGAGCCGGTGAGATTTGAACTGCTGAACTGCAGATAGCAGTCAGCTGAAGTGGCCTGCAGTACTGCACCCTAACCACTGCACCACCTCGGCTCTTCAATTAGGGTCGTGAGTTGAGGACTCCCTGTATATTCAAACCTTCCCTTGCCTAGAGTTTCAATGGCGAAATGAAAAGCCATGGGAAATATACAAGCGACGTCTTTGTTACTCTTTCCAAGATAACTTTCAACTCAAAACGATAATGGACGCTTCATTTCCTTGAGTGGAAAAATCTCTTTTTAAAAAAAAAGCTGAATTTTTTGCAGAAGAAAAGATGGGTTCAATATTAAAGAGGAAAGGATTTGACATTACAAATGTCAATGCACAAATCACCAGGGCCACTGCTGGGTGTGTGTGCAGCTACATTTCTACAGCCATTTTATCTCTGCGCTAGCTTGAAAAAAAAGCCAGATATGGCAACTCCAGCATTTCAGCCTGCAGATCCATTCTTAAGTTCACTGTTTAGTGAAGCCGAGGTGGCGCAGTGGTTAAATGCAGTACTGCAGGCTACTTCAGCTGACTGCAGTTCAGCTGTTTAAATCTCACCGGCTCAGGGTTGACTCAGCCTTTCATCCTTCCGAGGTGGATAAAATGAGGACCCGGATTGTTGTTGGCAATATGCTGACTCTGTAAACCGCTATGGAGGGCTGAAAGCCCTATGAAGCAGTATATAAGTCTAACTGCTATTGCTATTACATATTTTGCAAAAAATAAATAAATATATTTACTGTAACCAGAAGCATTCTCATTCTTACTGGAGCTATTGAAGACAGGGAAAGTTATTTGATCCACTGAGCTAATTATGAAGTGTGGTTATTCAGCATTATTTCAAAGATATACTGTATTTTTCAGACTATAAGACGCACCGGAGTATAAGACACACCAAGATTTTGAAGAGGTAAATTAAAAAAAAAAAGTTTTTGCACTATGCAGGTCTCCCAAACCCTCCAAATGCCTCATTTTTTCAGGGCATGCATAGGCTTTGGGAGGCTTGTAGAGTGCTCCTGGGGGCTGGGGGGGGGGGGCAAAAACAAGCAAAAAAAAGGCCCGTTATTCACTGGTTTTTGCCCCCCCCAGCCCCCAGGAGCGCTCTACAAGCCTCCCAAACCCTATGCATGCCCTGAAAAAATGAGGCATTTGGAGGGTTTGGGAGACCTGCATAGTGCAAAAACTTTTTTTTTTTAATTTACCTCTTCAAAATCTTGGTGTGTC